TGGTTTTGGGCCGAGTGTGAAATAATTTAGGCACCTTGCTAATTGGTGGAGTATAAGCTTCTACTGACACCCAGATTAGCCTCCAGTGCTAAAACTACAGAAGACAATTCTGCTTTTCAAAAACGCCGCCCACACGAACGCTGCCATCGCTTCCTCCTCCTGCTCTCGCTTTCACATGGCGGCGGCTGATTGGTCCGTCGCACATCACCCTGTGATTGGTCAGAGTGAAACTGGCCCACCGGCCGACCGCTTCCTCCACGCTGATTGATCAGATTATCTCATGGTGCAGGATGCTGATCGGTCTGGCTGATCAGAGTGATTAGCTCTTACATAAGTGATGATTTAAGCGCTCTTAGGACGAGAAGCCTTTACTGTATGATAAGCGCCGTTATTTCACTACATCCTCCTGAAGAAGGATGAACACAGGACGCGCTAGCGCTGATTCAGGAGTTAAACTGGGTTAAACTGTGGACAAATGGGTTAAACTGGGTTACGCTGGGTTAAACTGGGTTAAACTGGGCTGAAATGGGTTAAAGTGTGTTTATTTGTGTGTTTATTTGAGCAGTGAAGGTCTACTGCCTTTCCAGAAGGGACCCTCCATCAAACAATGCAACAATAGAAGCGTAGAGGAGCAGAATGAGCTGCACCGTGACCTGACTTTACTCTTCATTCTGAACCAGTTTTGGGTAAAACGCCCTACTTCCTGCCTCGCTAGGCAGCTTCAGATTAGCAAACAGGATGTTGTGGTTGAGCTGTGCAGAACAACTACTCACTCATTCTCTCTCTCACACTAACTGATGACTTGACCTTTCTCTCTCTCTCTGTGTCTCTGTGGTCTGTTTTTTATGGAAACGGCTCATGCTAATGACCGAAATAACGTTCCTCTGTACATTCAGGCAGCTGCATTTACAAAAATCCCCCTTCTGCTCGTCCCTGAGCTTTAGCAGGTGGCAGGCTGGAGATTTTAGAGCTGAAGAAACAGATCCTACGTCTTTTTGGAAATCAAGGCGGCAGCTCGCTGCATATTTTTGAGGATGTAAAGTTTCCTGTTGTTGGCCTTGTTCATTCTAACAGTGGGGAGACGGATGTGTATGAAGAGGCTTTAGTCTCGGTTATAAAGGCTTCAGTACACAAGCAGGCGGGATTATAATCCAGAGACTGAGAATACAGGCTGAGATCAACGCCACAACTAGCATCACACAGCTAGGAAGCAAGGCCTGCTGGTGTCCACAGTTAACTATTAACTTAGTTTTAGGCCCAATCCTGCTGGAAAAACCAGCACAGACTGGTCAGCATGGATGGTCACCAGCAAAACCAGCACTGTTGTGCGAAAACCTTGCATCTCCATTATTCTCATAATTTAAAAAGGCCAGTTTCCCTTTGCGTCAGAGGAGCCCAGTCCTGGTCCTGAAGATCTACCATCCTGCAGAGTTTAGCTCCAAACCTCATCTAACACACCTGATCCGGGTAACAAAGGCCTTCAGGGAGGATGTGAAAACTAGGACCAGGTGTGTGGGATCTGAAGTCTCCAGGGTGGTGGATCCTTAGGACCAGGATTGGGCACCACTGCTTTGAGGTGTGTTCAAATTTCATGACAAACTGACCAAAAGAAAAGCTCCAAAATTGCGTGAAAAAAGGACTTTAACAATGTTTTTCCTTCTGTAAAGCTGCCATTTTGGAGATGTGAGGTTTTGTTCCGACAGTGATGGTATGTTGTGTTTTGGTTGTTGGTATGCTGGTCAACAAGCTGGACCATGCTGGGTGACCAGCTAAAGCAGCTTCGACTGTGCTGTAGTGTTTCCTTAAACAAACATAAAAAAAAACAAAACAAACATAAAATATAAAATGACCCAGAACGTCTGTCCAGGCTTTTATTTAAATATTTTCCCCCAGTATGGTAACTACAACCAATAGTCATAGTCATCATCATCATCATCACTTTATTTATATAGTGCCTTTCCCATGCTAGAGGATGCTTTATAATCAAAACTCTACAAACAAAATACATAATCAACAATCAATAAACACAGAATACACTCATACACACACACACAACTCCATGGTACCCACAGCTAGTGGGGGGGAGATTCCAGTGACCACAGTATAAAGTCACCTAGCTAGCCAGGAAAGAGTCCTTAACTGCAGGGAAAATCTCACTTCTGACTACGGTGCGTCACTCAGGCAGCAGCCCGGGAAGCCTTCAAAGCTGAAAATGTCCTCAGCCACGAAGGGGGAGCGTTTTCCTGCAGCCGAGCACCACCAGACCAGGCAGCCACATAGCTGCAATGCAGCGACACCCAGGCAGCCGGCCCAGGTAGCCACATAGCTGTGATGTAGCGTCAGTCAGGTCCCCAGTCCAGAGAGCCTCGTAGCCGTGATACAGCATCACTCAGGTGTCCGGTCAAGGCTGCATCATGGCTGAGATGTAGCGTCACCCAAACGGCCAGGCCAAGAAGCCTCTGAGCCGCGAGTGGAAAATCACTCTCCACTGTCTCTGTGAATATGATAGTAAACTCCTCATCCAGCAGGGAAACATCAAAACACACACTCAAACAAAACCGTCTGTAAGTGTTCATGGTCCTATACAGAACCACTGACTTCACTAAAGAACCCTGAAGAACAGAAAAACGTCTTTTTTAGAGTGAACCCAAAAAAAGTGCAGTTTGTGAAAACATGGGAACCCTATTTGGTGCTATACAGTTTAACACTATTCAAAGGTTCTTTAACCGACAATATTATCACTGACAGAACAGAACTCTGTATTTTTAAATCATTTAAAAACATTGTGTGCTAATTTAATGATAGAGTCAGTACAAATGACACCAAATGACTTAGAAGAAACAGTGTTAAAACACCGTCTTCCCATTAAACTGCAGTGAAACGGTCTCTCAGGTAACAGGACAGTGTTGGTTACAGCAGAGCTGACCGTCACAAACAATAACAGCTCTGTTACTGAAATGTCACCGAGGTCAGGACATTCCAGCTGTTTCTCTCTCACAGACGACGACGCAAACACCGAACGTAAACACCTGGCGTTTCCTCTCTTACTGTCCATTCGGTCACTCACAGTACGCGGTAATCCTCCACCTCCACATGCAAAGCTAGAAATGCCCTCAGCTCCTCTCCAGCTTTCCATACATGCACAGACTTCTGGGTAAACAGCTTTGCATATGTTTATGTTCATTCAGACAGAGACAGTGTTGTATACTGGTCTCCAAAGCAATTACTGTCAATAATCTGCAGATTAGTGTATACAGTAGAACAGAGTGTATATCACAATACCTACATTTAGAGTCAGTTATTCATTCAGCCTAATGAGAAACTGTAGAACAGACTCAGTTTATATCACAATACCTACATTTAGAGTCAGTTATTCATTCAGCCTAATGAGAAACTGTAGAACAGACTCAGTTTATATCACAATACCTACATTTAGAGTCAGTTATTCATTCAGCCTAATGAGAAACTGTAGAACAGACTCAGTTTATATCACAATACCTACATTTAGAGTCAGTTATTCATTCAGCCTAATGAGAAACTGTAGAACAGACTCAATTTATATCACAATACCTACATTTAGAGTCAGTTATTCATTCAGCCTAATGAGAAACTGTAGAACAGACTCAATTTATATCACAATACCTACATTTAGAGTCAGTTATTCATTCAGCCTAATGAGAAACTGTAATTGCAATCTAGCTGTATTATAACCATAATGTAACAAATGTGACTGCAGTATAACCACTGTAACTGCATTCTTACTGCACTCTAACTGCACAGTAACTGTTTTGTAACCGCACTGTAACTGAATTGTAACTGTACTGTGACTGCACTGTAACTGTACTGTGACTGCACTATAACCACTGTAACTGCATTCTTACTGCACAGTAACTGTTTTGTAACCGCACTGTAACTGAATTGTAACTGTACTGTGACTGCACTGTAACTGTACTGTGACTGCACTATAACCACTGTAACTGCATTCCTACTGTACTCTAACAGCACTGTAACTGTTATGTAACTGCACTGTAACTGTACTATAAATGCACTGTAACTGTTATGTAACTGCACTGTAACTGTACTATAAATGCACTGTAACTGTTTTGTAACTGCACTGTAACTACTATAAATGCATTGTAACTGTTATGTAACTGCACTGTAACTGTTATGTACCTGCACTGTAACTGTACTATAAATGCACTGTAACTGTTATGTACCTGCACTGTAACTGTACTATAAATGTGCTGTAACTGTTATGTAACTGCACTGTAACTGTACTATAAATGCACTGTAACTGTTTTGTAACTGCACTATAAGTGTAATATAAATGCACTGTAACTGTTTTGTAACTGCACTGTAACTGTACTATAAATGCACTGTAACTGTTTTGTAACTGTACTATAAATGCGCTGTAACTGTTATGTAACTGCACTGTAACTGTACTATAAATGCGCTGTAACTGTTATGTAACTGCACTGTAACTGTACTATAAATGCACTGTAACTGTTTTGTAACTGCACTGTAACTGTACTGTAAATGCGCTGTAACTGTTGTGTAACTGCACTGTAACTGTACTATAAATGCACCGTAACTGTTTTGTAACTGCACTGTAACTGTTCTAAACTTGTGCTGTAACTGTACTATAACTTCTGTAACTGCACAACTGTACAGATATATTACAGACCAGTTTGAATCTGAGAGAGAACAGCAGACAGAGAGAACAGAAAAAAATAAGGGGTAAAGCAAAAAGACAAGAGAGACAAAAAGCTAAAGAGATGAGAGAGACAGAGAGAGAGAGACAGAGAGAGAGAGAACAGAGAGAGAGACAGAGAGAGAGAGAGAGAGAGAGAGAGAGACTATTTGTTAAAACAGTATCTATTTCTATATTTCCTATTACTAGCTCCTTTTCTCTAACAGGACTGAATCTCTCTCTCTCTCCCCCCTCTCTCTCCCTCCCCCTCCCTCCCTCCCTCTCTCTCTCTCTCTCTGTGCGGAAGTGGGCGCGCGGGGCTGGGCGCGCGCTGATATAAACTCTGGCAGACTTCCTCGTCGTGCACTTTCTGCAGCAGCAGCTCGGTTTGGCTCTAGACTCCGGCAGAACAGTGAGTGTCTCTCTCTCTCTCTCTCTCTCTCTCTCTCTCTCTCTCTCTCTTTACTGGGTTTAACTGTGTGTTCTCTCTCTCTCTGTGTGTAGCGCGCGCAGACATGAGCTGGGACGGCTACATCCAGAATCTGATCAAGAGTGAGTGGCTGGATGACGCGGTGATAGTCGGATACACGTCCGGTCAGGAGTCCGTGTGGGCTTCGGCGCCCGGAGGCTGGCTGAGCGGAATCACGGTAATCAATACAGCTGATCAATCACCACTGATCACCACTGATCTCACACCGGCAATCATCCTCAGTCACCACAGGGCAGGGCCAGGCAGGGGCAGAGACTCAGGGACCTGCAGGAGCCGCTCGAGCGCTCTAGAACCAGAACCCCGCTAGAACACAGAGTTCTAGAAGTTCCACTAAGTTTTCTGAACTGGAAGGTTTCGGCTTTGTTATCTAGAACCCTGCAGCTAAAACAGTTATTTCTGCTGTTGGGTTCTGGAGCTGGAACTCTCAGTGGAACTGAAAGTTCATCGTTAATAAATCTATAAACTGTTTAGTCCTTATTTAATAACAATGGTAATAACAATGGTAATAACAATGATAATAACAATATTAATAATAATGATAATAATAATAATCTTTAATTGTCGTCATCGCGACTTTGAACTTCCACGGCGATGACTGTAAATCTCGCGCGCGCTGGAACCGGTGATGCTTAGCGCGCCAGTTAACGGGTTCTAGAGCTGCACGAGCGAGTTTGAAGCCTCTCCTCCGCAGGAGCGCGCCTCGCTCACGTGACCGCCGCTGTCCGCTCGTCTCAGAGCCGCTATTGATCCGCTGATCGGTCAGTGATGGTCAGTGACGGTCAGTGATGGTCAGTGACGGTCAGTGACGGTCAGTGATTGATGAACGGTGAGGGGAGCGGGTGGCGGCTGAGCGCGCGCGGGTTTGGGATGGAGAGGGTTTGATGCTCCGCGTGCTGCAGATTCGTCTCCTTATTTGGGCATGAGAACTAAACTTGGTGCTCGCGCAGGGAGGAAGTGTGCAGCGCTCGAGACTCACTTCCGCCTTCACACGCTCGCGCTCACACACTCACACGCACACGGGGAGGAAGTAGAGAGACTGAGAGCAGAAGAGCTCGTGACCTTATTGATTACTGATACAGCTGATATCTATACTGGTATCTATACTGGTATCTATACGGATATCTATACTGGTATCTATACTGGTATACTTATATATCTCTGTTTATAGAAGTGTGTGTATCTCTATCCGCCTATTCAGCCCACAGCAGTTTAGCCCCGCCCACTCGCACTGAAGGTGTAAGAGCTCTCAGAGTTTCGGCCAGTCAGAACGGAGCTCATTTGCATATGAAGCCTTTAAGGCACAGTTATTGGTAAAGACACCCAACAAGCCAAAACACAGTAAACGGTCCTTTAGTGACGTTTGTTTCTCATCAGAGGCTTCAGCTCAAACCTGCGGAGGAAAGGAGGGACACGCCACCAAATATGGAAATTCTGATTCAAAATTCACATGCAAATATCAAAAATCCCACTTTTCCTCAGATTGTTAGACTGATTTTATGATCAGTGAACTCATGTGTGAACATTCAGAAGTGTTCTCAGAGTTTTGGGCCCCGCTGTGTGTTGACTATTGGGTTATTGATCACTGATCAGAAAATGTCAGCGTGATTAAGTTAGCAGTGCTGACATTAATGTGGTAAATGAATGAAAACTTTAGCCTCCCGTCTTCGGTGAGTGCCAGTTCTGCTGCGGTCGGGTGCAGTTATGACTGTAGTGCAGCTCTAAGATCCTCTAACAGCTCTAGATAACGAGGTTCTCCTTCAGTCTGATAGTCAGAACCAAAGCTCCACCTGCAGTAAAAGCTTCACATGAGAGGCTAAACAGCTAGAGGTTCACTGTAGAGGGAACACTGACCACACCTTTAAACTCTGTCACTGTTTACCAGCATCCTCACCTCATAGAACCTCACAGAACAGCTTCACAAAAGCTTAAAATCTTAAAAAAAAAAAAAAATATTTGCTCCAAAAACTGCACAGAAGGTTTAGTGAGCGTGTTTTAATGATCAGTTTTGCCTGTAATGTGATGATATGGCTGATATCTGGGAGCTTTATGGTTTTTGAAAAGCTGAATAATCAGATATCTGAGTGGGCGGAGAACCTCTACTGATCAGAGAATCCTGCTGATAACTGTGCTCATCACTGCTGATGTGGATAAACAGTGAAAAGCTCAGTTCTGAAGACGTTTCAGGTTCAGGTTCATCAGATTTCTCTGTATTTAAAGTCTGTTATTTGGCGCCGTGTTGATCCTGACTGGTCTTTATTAGAATCAGAGACTCTAGACTGGGTGGGTGGTGGTGGTCAGGTGGTCAGACGCTGGTCAAACCTGCTTTCACTCATTTTAATCACAGTAGCTGGAGGTGCTGCAGAATGAGGAACCCGGCGTAACGCTGGAGTGCGTGAGTGTGAATCTCCCCTCTTTGGGTGTTTTTGTGCTCTGAGTGTCACAAGATGAACTCATGCTCTGAGTTTGGCTGCTGCTGCTGGACGGTTCCTCATTCTTCTGCTCCTCTGTTCTGACTGATGATAACACCCCCCCCCCTCGGTTCTCTTCCTCGTGCCTCCACACGCCTGTACAGAGCTCTCCGGCAGGCCTCACTCATGTCTGCCTTCAGAGAATCCTGTGGCCTCCTTTGGGGCGGGGCCAACTCAGCAGGCGTGTAAACTTTGTAACGGGAAGCCCCGCTCTCCCTCTCTGACACTGATGGGTCTTAACGCTTCACTTCCTTTTAGCTGTCAAAAGAAACTCAATCACCGCTTTGGTTTGGTGCCATGGGCTCCTTTCTAAGCCCCGCCCTCAGACCGCCTCTGCTACAGAACTAGCCTGGTGATTGGTTAAGTAGAGCGCTGAGGCCAGTAGTGAGCTGGAGTAGGAAGTACAGTCCACGTTAGACCAGACCAGTAACAGTTAGACCCCTCTGATGGCCATTAGACCACTCCAGAAGACTCACCCAGCCCTATCAGACTAGTCTAAAACCTGTTAGATCAGTCTAGTCTTCATTAGGCTAGTTTAGTCTCTCTAGTCTCTTTAGACCAATTAGGACAGTTCATTGCCATTTAGAGTAGTCCAGTTCTCTTTTAGAGTGGTCTAGTCCTCATTTAGAGTGGTCTGTCCCCATTTAGAGTGGTCTAATCCCCATTTAGAGTGGTCTAATCCCCATTTAGAGTAGTCCAGTTCTCTTTTAGAGTGGTCTAGTCCTCATTTAGAGTGGTCTGTCCCCATTTAGAGTGGTCTAATCCCCATTTAGAGTAGTCCAGTTCTCTTTTAGAGTGGTCTAGTCCTCATTTAGAGTGGTCTGTCCCCATTTAGAGTGGTCTAATCCCCATTTAGAGTAGTCCAGTTCTCTTTTAGAGTGGTCTAGTCCTCATTTAGAGTGGTCTGTCCCCATTTAGAGTCGTCTCGTTCTCATTTAGAGTGGTCTATGCCCATTTAGATTGGTCTGTCCCCATTTAGAGTGGTCTTGTCCCTATTTAGAGTGGTCCATTTCTCATTTAGAGTGGTCTGTGCCCATTTAGAGTGGTCCAGTCCCCAGTTAGAGTGGTCCAGTCCCCAGGTAGAGTGGTCCAGTCCCCGTTTAGAGTGGTCTATCCCCATTTAGAGTGGTCTGTCCCCATTTAGAGTGGTCTTGTCCCCATTTAGAGTGGTCCATTTCTCATTTAGAGTGGTCTAATCCCCAGTTAGAGTGGTTTAGTCCCATTTTGGAGTGGTTTGTTTACGTGCTCTGAGCTTGGTGTGCGGTTAGGTGTGGAAGGTTGCTGGTCTGCCTGTGCTGTGCAGTGTGTGTTTACTGGTGTGTGACTAACACTGAGGTGTGTGTTGTGATTCTTTAAGCAGTGTTTCTCTCTCAGTCTGATCTGGAGATGAACTGAGAGAGAGAGATAGGGATAGAAAGAGAGAGAGAGAGAGAGAGAGAGAGCAGCTCTGTAACCGATACACTGATACAGGGATGTTGGCTTGTTAATAATCAATATTATAAGTAATTTAGTGGAATTTGGTTCTGTCATTGACTCTGTCGGTGACCTTAGTTACACTGTAAGTTTGTACTGTAATATCGTTACTGTAGTAAATTTACAGGAGAAGGAAAAACATTATTTTCACACAAGTTTAATGAAAAAAGGTTTAATTTCATGCAGTTTTGAATTATTCCTGTTGTTATTAAGGTGTGATGGATATTTGTGTAGGTTTAGTAATTGTCAGTGGTTCCGCTCCATGTTTACAGTGACCTACACTCTTTAAATAAAGGTTCCTCAGGTGGTTCCTGGGACGATACCGCAGCAGAACCACTTTTGGATTCCTAAAGAACCATGTTTGCAAATGGGAAATGAGTGTGTGGAACATTTTAAAGAGTTTTCACACTTTTTTTGGAGTTTTTTCAAACTTTAAGAACACATTTCTTTTCAAGAGTGTGGAACGTGTGCTGCAGTAGAACATCTGTGTTTAAAAGTCAGAGCTGGGCGTCGTTCTCCAACGTGAAGAAACACGAACGAGTTCCACAGCAGGAATGTGAGCACTGAGGGAACGTTTCAGAAATCCACCTACATGTTAGAACTCGCGTGGACTGAGACAGGAGATCAGAACTGAGCAGAGATCTAATCTCTCTCTCCCTCTCTCTCTCTCTCTCTTCCTCTCTCTCTGTATCTCTCTCTCTTTCTCTCTCCCTCTCTCTCTCTCTCTCTCTCTCTCTCTCCCTCTCTCTCTGTATCTCTCTCTTTCTCTCTCCCTCTCTCTCTCTCTCTCTCTCTCTCTCCCTCTCGCTCTGTATCTCTCTCTCTTTCTCTTTCCCTCTCTCTCTCTCTCTCTGTCTGTGTCTCTCTCTCTGTCTGTCTGTCTGTCTCTCTCTCTCTCTCTCTCTCTCTGTCTGTGTCTCTCTCTCTGTCTGTCTGTCTCTCTCTCTCTTTCTGTGTCTCTCTCTCTGTCTGTCTCTCTCTCTCTCTCTCTCTCTCTCTCTCTCTCTCTCTCTGTATTCTCTCTGTATCTGTCTCTCTCTCCAGCCGGCGGAGGTCAGAGCCTTAGTAGCGAGTGAGCGCGGTGGTCTGTTTGCGAATGGAGTGACTCTGGCTGGTAAGAAGTGCACGGTGCTGAGAGACGCTCTGAACGTAGACGGCCAGAACACCATGGACATCAAAATGAAAACATCAGATAAAGACCCCGACCCGTTCCCCTTCACCATCGGCAAGTCCCACAAAGGTACGGCCCACTGACTTACATCTACACTGCACTTAAACCTTTACAAAAGCTTTACAGCAGCTTCACTGACTCACACTTACACCTACACTGCACTTAAACCTTTACAAAAGCTTTACAGCAGCTTCACTGATTTACACTTACACCAACACTGCACTTAAACCTTTACAAAAACTTTACAGCAGCTTCACTGACTCACACTTACACCTACACTGCACTTAAACCTTTACAAAAGCTTTACAGCAGCTTCACTGATTCACACTTACACCTACACTGCACTTAAACCTTTACAAAACTTTTTGTTCCAACATTCTGCTCTTCTTTAGTTTAACCAATTAGACTAAACTGAATGTCTAATATGGCGCGCTGGTCAGATTTCAGGCCTACGCTGTTCAAATAACATTAATACTCAGTTACTGTTGAATTTACTCAACTAATCTTTGAATTGTTTTATCAAAGGAAACCACAGAATTACGAAAAAGAAAAATTCATCACATTAATCTGCAGATCAGTAACTTCTGTTAGCTGGCTACGACTAATCGTATCACGTTCACAGCTTTGATTTATGGGTAAACCGTTCATTTGTCTAGACTGTTAATGTTCTTAACTGAGCCTCGTCTCTGTCGCTCACTCAGAGAGATCCTAGAGCTTTTATTAAAGACTCGTGATCAGAGTTTCATATTTCAGACGCTCGTCAGAGGCGGCCGAGGTCAGTCGGCTAATCAGTCGTAGTGGTCCTGGTCCACGAAGAACGTTTGGACCCTGAAGCCTGTAAGAGCCTCAGTGTCGTCCCTTTGATCTGTTTTATCTCACACGTGTTGTTTTTGAGGAAGTCCTGCATGAGGGCAGCTTCATAGCGTGTAAAGATGGTTCTACAGTGGAACGTAAACTCACAGCACGTCCTCTAATAAGACGCAGTCCTGCTGGTTAAACTAATGACTCTCCAAATCCACAAATCCAGTTCGGTTGAGACTTCAGGGCTTTTTTGTTTGTTTTATTTTGTTTTTTTTTTTTAAGAAAAAATTCTAGGTTTTATAAAATCACCAACAGTTTGGAACCGTAAAGAGGAGAACCCTGGAATTAAAGCTAATTGTCCCAGCATGCCTTGCTCCCTGCACTTCTGCAGAGCTGCAGTGTGAAGGAGGCTTTCTGACAGTAAAGCATGAGTGTGGGAGCGGAATCCAGTGCTAAGCTGGTGCTAATGCTAAATACATTAGCCGGTCATCCAGCCGAAGTGTCTCACTAGGTGGGTCTGTTAGCGAGTAACGACGTCCTGAATCTGCAAAAGGCCTGATTCCCTGGTAAAAGGTGGCTTTTATTACCCTGATACAAAAACCAGCACATCATTTTTGTCAAAATAACACCTTGTTTTTGTAATTTTGCACATTTTTACAGAATTTGATGAAGGGACCGGCAGAAATTGGCCAAAATAACATAGAAAAAAATCTGGTTCCATTGACTTCCATTCAAAGTTAGGAAGGTTTTTTCCTTCTCCTTTAAAATGAAATTAAAAAATTTGGACGCATGTTTTGCTCTGAGAGCAGCACACGTTGTGTTGGGATGCTGGTTCAGCTGGTCAACCAGTTCGAGCGTACTGGGTGACCAGCTAAAGCAGCACCAGGACGTCGTTACTCACCAACAGACCCACCCAGAGCATAAAGCGACGCTGTCAGTGAGGATCTTCGGCTGGATGACCGGCTAACGTAGTTAGCATTAGCACTAGCTTAGCACTGGATTCCGCTCCCTGAGCTGTAAAGATGAACGAGCCCACGTGATTAATATGTATATATTTATGATTTATATGATTAATATACAGCCGAACTTCATAAACTGGGGCTCTGCAGACGTACAGGGAGCAGAGCATGCTGGGAAAATTAGCCATGACTCTATGAAATAACCGGTTTAACCACATTTTAACCGAAACCTTTCACTCTGGAACCGTCCTGAGTGGTTTTGTTCCCATTTTCGAGCTCAGCCTGGGAAAAATGCGGTTCTTTTTTAGTTTCCCTTTCGGTTCCTTTTACTAACTCTGTGAAAACCAATCGGAACGTTATCATTAAACACGTCTAGAGCTTCTTAGAACAGCTGAAGCTTTTCATTCAGATTCAGCTCTCGATTCTGAGTGTCCTCCAGATTCGCGATGCTCTTTCTAATCACTGTTTATGAGTTAATATGTATCTTTAATTAACTAATTAATTAATTAATCTACTTTTTTGTGTCTTTCTCAGCTCTGATCATCGCTAAAGGAGTGAAGGACGCTCATGGTGGAAAGGTCAACCCTCCGGTGTTCGACATGACCGCATACCTCAGAAAGATGAACCTCTAAAGACACACACACACACACACACACACACACACTCACACACACACACACACACGCACACACACACTCACACACACACACACGCACTCACACACTCATACACACACCGCCTGTCTCACTGCTGTACACACACACACACACACACACACACACACAGACACACACACTCAGAGCGGCTGAGAGAGAGTCTGACCAACGACCAGCTCAGCGAGTGAGTGAATGTATGAATGAGTGAATGAATGAGTGAAGCTAGTCTGGAGTCAGTCTGAGGTCAGTCTGAGGTCACTCTCTCTCTCTCCTGCTTCTCTCTCTCTCTGCGACCTGCGGTCTGCTCTCTCCTCCGCTCCGGGAGCCGAGGCCGCAGCTGATCAGACCCGTTCATTAACCGATTGATTGACTGATTGATTGATTAATTGATGGTACGTGACACTGGGTGGGCGGAGCTTCATCTCAGGCAAATTTAGCATCTGTTTATTTGTTAGTTCGTTTATGGTTTATTTTTTGATGCTGTACTGAACAAAATCTGCCCCCCGGCTGCCCAATAAAGAGATTAGGTTTATACTGAGACCCCCGAGTGTGTGTGTGTTTATTTCAACTACACTATTAATAGAGATGGTTCTTCAAGGGTTCTTCGGTAAAGAAAATGTTTCTGTAGAACAATGAACACTCAAAGTATCATCTGCATGCGGTTCTTCAGATGGATGTAGAATGTGTTGTTTATGGTTCTAGGGCTCTGCTGTTGTTACAATGTCAAGCTTGTAACAATAAAAGAACCCTTTTCAGTGCTATATAGAACCCTCTTCAAAAAGAACCATGTACAACACATTCTACATCAAATCTGAAGAACTGTTTCACCATGCAGGGATCTCTTTAAGCAAGCACATGTTTTTTGAGTGTTCTTGGTTCCGTACAGAACCACTGTCCTTACTAAAGAACCCTTGTGTGTACAGTTTAATGTGTTAAGCCCTTTTCACATTAGACTCAATGCTCTTGTATTGAAATCAGTTGCTGGTTTGTGTTGTAATATAAACGTCTATATTGGCTCTTTATTGCTTAAATAAACTTTGTGTAAAATCCTGTGACTAAAATGTTCTAAGCTCAAAACATAATGCTCTTCCTGATGGTTCTGGCTGGTCAGAGTCCAGATTTAAACCCTATAGTGAATATTTGGTCTCATATTAAACCCAAACCAGCTCAGCAGTGTTTTCCAGCTGTGTGAAGCCGTCAGTGCTGAGAGGATCAATACTGACTCTTCTCTCTGTAAAAGACTGTCTGAACATTCACACACTGAACTACAACACTGAAAGAAATCAGAGTGAAAAACTCTCATATTAAGTTACTTCGTCTGTTAGTTTAATGATCCGTTGTTAGGATCATTAAAAGTGAAATATTTTGCCATTTTGGCCTTTTTTGCTGAGGAGTGTGGATCAGAAATCAACAATAAAACCCTGACTCACTGCCACTGCTGGCTTTCTCACCATGTAATGTACAGCTACACTCTTTAAAAAGATGGTTCTCCAAGGGTTCTTTATTGTAGACCAGAACCATGAACACTTAAATGGTTCTATGCATGGTAAAATTATTTTTCAGATTGATGGAAAATATGTTGTATATGGTTCTAACCTTTTTGGAAAGGGTTCTATATAGCACCAAAAGGGTTCTACTCTTGTAAGTATGACATTGTAACAATAGCAGAACCCTAGAACCATATTATCAATCTGAAGAATCATTTCACAATGAAAAGATCCATGTAAACATTTCTGTGAGTGTTCATGGTTCTAAATAGAACCATTGTCTTTATTAAGGAGCCCTAGAAGAACCCTCTTTTTTAGCTGTGTGTATGAACGGGGGGAGATGCAGGTGGGTTCACAACATTAATCTACAGACGGGATTCTGCCACCTTGTCAAAGAGTTAAAACTACATTTGTTTATTAGCCTAGATCACGTGTGTCAGGCTCCAGTCCTCGCGGGTCAAACTCTGCAGCTCAGTGCCTCATTAAACACACCGGATTCAGCTCATCAGCTAATTAAGACCTTCATGGACTGAATTCAGAGCGCTGGATGAGGGTAAATGTGGCCCGGAAGGTCCCCAGTCTGACACGCCTGAATGTGGCCCAGTTTGTATATTACAGCTGTCTAGAAACTGTTAACATGCTGCAGAGAAATTAGATCAGAAGTGTATTTTTTGCCTGTGGTCAGGCTGTGGTCAGTGTGAAAGGCTACATTGATTAATATAGGAGTGAATTGCATGAGGCACGGTTACCACATCTGGTGCGAAAAGGACTTAAATTCAGCGTCAACTTCAGAAAATATCAGCAGGTAAATCAGCTCTCAGCTGTGCGAGTCAGTGAGTCACTCTCTACCTTCATTCCAGCTTCCATTCTTTTCAGAAGCCTCACTTTCAGTTCCTCAGAGAATCTGCAGACACACCTCCAAAGTTCAGCCTCACAAGTCAGAACCTCACTCCACATCTCAGGCGTCCCGTTTTGGGTTCTATCAATGTTCTTTTTTTTGTCTACTTTTCTCAGTAAGCCCTGCTGAAAAAGATCATAGAACCCATCAAAAGGTTCTGCTGATTTTTGCTGGCGTCCAATAGTCTCGTATGGTGTTCTGTGTAGATAAGTGTAAAGTGGTTGGTATGCAGATCAGCACCTCCAAGTCTCAGTCCATGGGTTTGGCCCGGAAAAGGGTGGCATGTCCCCTCCAGGTGAGGGGAGACGTCCTGCCCCAGCTGGAGGAGTTTCAGTATCTCGTGGTCTTGTTGACGAGTGATGGGAGAGGGATGGTGAGACCGGCCACAGGCTGGGACAGGCGGTCACTGTACCGGACTGTAGTGGTGAAGAGGGAGCTGAGCCATAAGGCGAAGCTCTTTGTTTACCGGTCAGTCAACATCCTGACCCTCACTGTGGTCATGAGCTGTGGGTAATGACCGAAAGAATGAGATCACGGATACAAGCAGCAGAAATGAGCTTTCTGCACAGGGTGGTGGCCACACTCTACTGACAGGGTGAGGAGCTCAGAGTAGAGCCGCTACTCCTCCACACTGGGAGGAGCCAGTTGAGGTGGTTTGGGCATCTCCTAAATACCCACTGAAACATCACTGAAACATTCAAGCACTCAAATGGTTCAAGGTTGTACAGAACCATTGTCTTTACTAAAGAACCCATGGAGAACCATTTTAAGGGTTCAGAACATGGTTGCCCAAAGTTACCATACCCAATAAGAGAACAAGCCTATTTGTATAATTATATAATTATTCATTATTATGTCATGCAAAGGGTTCTTTGAGTGTTCATGGTTCCTTATAAGAACATTCTTGAAGAACCCACTTTTTTAAGAGTGTTCTGATGTACAGATAAGTACGGTAGAGTTTCTGATCTTTTCCAAAATGTGCTTTATAACACTTCACTGTATCTTCTTATGAAGATGCTCATCAGAGTGAAACTGGGGGGCTGGGGGGCTGGAGGGGCTGGGGTGGTTGAGGGGCTGCTGTCATGTGGAAGTGTGTGGCTGTTGATTGTTCAGCCAGCTCTGGCGGCGGGTTCCCCCTGGAGCACGTACATAAAACAGCACTCGTTTGAAGCTCTACACCCTTGAAAAAGATGGTTCTTCATGGTTTACTTAGTAAAGAAACTGGTTCTATACAGAACCATGAACACGCAAAGGTCCTTTTGCATGATTAAGTGGTTCTTTGCATTATGAAAGTGTTCTTCAGATTGATGGAGAATGTGTTGTAGATAGTTCTACATAGAATCATTTTGAAAATGGTTCTATATAGCACCAAAAGTGGTTCTTCTACTGTAACAAGCTTGACATCGTAATGATAGAAAAACCCTTTTCAAAAAGGTTCTATATAGAACCATCTACAACATATTTTCCATCAATCTGATGAACGCTTTTATGCAAAGGGCTCTTTGAGTGTTCATGGATCTACATAGAACCATTTTCTTTACCAAAGAACCCTCTTTTTTGAGAGTGCAGGTCTCTCGATGTTCCTCTACATCGACGCCACAACACTATAAATACAGTGATAGGAAGGACTATTAATAAGTGTTATGGCATTAATCATCAAGCGAAAGTGAAGAAAGAAGTGAAAATGGTTCCAGAGCAGCTCAGTGCCTCTTTCTGTTTGAGTCACAGAGAGAAAACTGAATGTCATTTTAGAATTATTATAAATCATAAACGCAATGAAACGAGCAGATTAATGAAATAAAGGAACCTTAAGAGTGAATAAAAATACCAACCGATCAGCTAAAACGAGATTAGCTGATGAGATTGAGGTGAGCGTCAGATTATTCTGGTTGCTGTTGCACAATCAGTAACTACACACTTAAAAAAGAAGGTTCTTCAAGGGTTCTTTAGTAAAGGCAATGGTTCTATATAGACCTGTGAGTTCTAAGAACCGTTTCATGGTTCTTTAAATGGTGAAATCGTCTCAGGTTGATGGATAATGTGTTGTATATTGTTCTACATAGAACTTTCATGAAATGACTGACCATTGTAACAATAGCAGAACATTTATGGTGCTGTATAGAACCATTTCACCATACAAAGAACAATATAAGCATGCAAATAATTCTACATAGACATCACGGTTCTAAATAGAACCACTGCCTTGAAGAACCATCTATTTTAGGAGCACAGATGTTCCACTCAGTGGAGTGAGGTTGAACCTGCAGTGCTGGAGGTGGAGATGTTCTCTGCAGATACGGTTCTCATCTCAGGCCGAGTGTCTCTGAGTTTCTCCTCGTCTCTGAATGGAGCTACAGATTAACAATGATGAGCAGCAGAAGTGAGAACCCCTCAGTTCTGCCTGAGAACAGAGAGGAACCGCAGTGACAAACAGGAAGCGGTGAGTGTGAGTGAGAGCTGGTGTGGTTTCCTGAGCAGAGCGAGAGGACAGTGAGGATGCGTAATCTCTCTGTAATCTCAGACGCTCTCTGGACCTTAACGGACCTGCAGGAGCTCAGACTCGGGGTTACGTCTGATCTGCTGCTCTGCTCTCAGACACAGGGCACTCAGACTGAGAGTGTCTCCTGTTCAGCTCTCTAACAGCAGGGGGCGCCGATTACACCTGCAGCTA